TCAGTGAGAGGGATTTACTCAGGCTGATCAGCTGCAAGGACTGGCTATGTCCACTGACCACTGGCCTCTGACTCCCTTGGAGGAGCAGCTGTGCAGGGCCCACCACCCAGAGCAAGACTTACTTCAGCAGGGCTCTGGTACCCCCTGAGTCCACCCCTTGCGTGTGTCACTTGTGGAGGTGGTTGGGTGGTGGTGTTTCGACGTGGTCTGAAGCTGACCACTGGGTGTGCTGGCTCTGGGGCAAGGTCAGCCCCTGCCCGTGTTCTACCTGGGCCACCAGCATAAGCTACAGAGTGATCTGCCGATGGTGCTTCTTGTGCTGGGCTTGGAGGTGCCCAGGCAAAGCCAAGCTGTGAACCAAGGCTGGCTGCTTCTAGTGCCGGGCCTGGGGCCACTTAACAAAAGGTATGGGGCTCCCGGACACCAGATGCTGCTTGTTTGAGAGCATTTAGGAAACTCTGAAGCAGGCTCCAAGACAGGCCAATCCTATGGTAGAGCCTTTGAAAACAGCTTGGGTGGGCCTGAAGGTTGGGTGGGGCAGGGCCTCAGGGGATCACCAGGGCGGCGGGGCAAACAATGTGAGCCAGGGTGCTGGAGTCCCAGATATGGGGGTCATCTGCCACCCCAGGGAAGGGCTCACCAAAGGAACATCAGCCTGCAGCAGCACGTCTGTCCCGGAGAAAGTCCCCTCTGCAGCCCTCGTCCTGAGGCCAAACAGCTCAGTTCTTACCTGTATGTCTCTGGAGCCCCTCAAGCTGCCTCCCCTCCAAGCTTAGAGGGAGCAAATCTGAGTAAGTCCGTGCGCAGGCCCTTTAACAGGAGCTGCCTGGGGCTCCAGCCGCCTCAGCCTCCCTGAGCCTCAGTTCCTGCTGGTTTTGCAGCCAGAAGTGATGGGGATTCTCTTCCCGGCACTGGAACCCTGAGCTGGGGGGGGGGCCTGGTGTGGGCCAGGGACCCCTTACTCCTCAGGGAGGACCTTCCCAGCCAGGTGTTCCCCTCATTTTTATCCGCCACACGTGGGTGTGGGACCAGCCCGTCTGCCTCCGCCCCTCCTACCGTCTCCATGTGGTTCTTGTTTAATCTCGTAGTCACAGGACGGCCACCGAGCTCCATCTCAGGGGGTTCCGGAGGATGGTGGTTCTGTCGCTTCGTTGTGGGAGGAGGCGAGACCGCGTTTAACCACCTGCCATCCTGACCGGAAGCCCAAGCCATCCCTTTGTGAAGTCAGGTTTCCAAATCCCTGCACCGGCAGCTCCGGGGACATGATGCCTCCTTGTCCTGAAGGTCTCTGTCCGGCAGACCTGGGCTGTCCGCCAAAGCGGACCAGAACCCCACCGGTATTCTCAAATACCGCACCCGGGTGAGTGGCGGTCTGCACCTCCTATCTCACTGAGAACATATCCAGCGGCATTTTTTTATTTTAGTTATAAATATGTTTATACATACATTTATCTGTGAAGGTAGCGGCACACTTCAAAAACATCTGTGGTATCAGAATATAATTGAACACATTAGAACATATATGCTACATTAGACTGCCTATGACAGAACATTGAGAGCATAATATACACGAGGGCTAATATATATACAGTTTCAAGTCTGCGGAGCCAGTGAAAGCTTCTTTTAAAATATATGTCTTACAGCCCTGGCCCTGTGGCTCAGTGGTTGGGGTGGGGTGCAGGACCCCAAAGGGTGGCCAGTTTTATGCCCCATAGGGCGTGCAGGAGGCAGCCAATGTATGTTTTTTTTTCTCTCTCTCTCTCTCTCTCGCAAAATCAATTTTAAAAAAATCAATTAAGCCCAGCTGGTGGGTCTCAGTGGACTGAGAGGTCCCGGTTTCGTTCCCCCTCAGGGCACAGGCTGGGGGCTCGATCCCCAGTAGGGGGTGTACAGGAGGCACCAATGGATGTTTCTCTCTCACATCGATGTTTCTATCTCTCTCTCCCTTCCTCTCTCTCTAAAAACTCAATAAAAACCTATCTAAAAAATCAATGAAAATATATGCATTAGAACACATAGGAAAATATGTTATAATATATATTATAAAATATGTTAGAATATATTGTGGAACATTTAGATGATAATGGATATGACATCTAACATTGTATATATATATATAAAGTTGTAATATATATGAAGACAGCTTAACACAGATCTTTTATACTATATATTAAAATAGACGATAAAATGGAACCTCTATTATAAAATACATTACATATTAAATAATATTTCAAATGTGATGTATATAATATCTAATAGTATAACTTTAGAGTCTAGGAAGGCAGCTGAAAACTTCTTTTACTTCCAACACATGTGTTAGAAATAATTAGAATATATAATATATCATATATAAATGATAAAGTCTCATAACTGAACATAACTGAACATGTTTTTTTTTATTTTAACTCAGTATATATACACACACATATATGCATGTATCTGCACACATATACACACGTACATATAAATATACACAAATATATATAGGGTGCCCCCCCCCCAAATATATACACAACTCTGAATAATGATAAAGCCAGGGCTTATTAAAAGACGTTTCATTTGCAAAATGTAATAGAATCTGCAGACGGCCTGTATACATTTGTTGGGGGACACTTGTATAAACACATACACATCTAGTATATCCCAAAGACGCGTCCAGCTGCCCTCAAAGACTGTGATTTTTATTCCTCGTGAATTCCGTCACACCTGCAGCCACGATGAGTTGTCTTTGGGGTTCATCCTGGCTGAGGCTGGGGTTCATTGTCGTGGGCCACTGCGCGTAGTCTCTCCTGGGCCTGCACCGCATAAATTCCGTGCAGGAAAGACCCCAAGGCGCCTGGCTCCCAAGGAATTTTTTGCCTTTCAAGTTCCATCGCTGTGGTCGCTGAGGCATTTTTACAGTCTCTGCCGATGAGAGCTGCTTCGAACAGGCAGGAGTTTCCAAAGGTGCCCCGGACCTTTACAGGGAGAGGAGCAAAGGAGACGGTCAGACTCGGCTGGGGGAGGATTAGGCTGGAGCCACCCTGCAGGCCAGAATCTCATTCCGAAATTTTCTGGCTGGATGCAGTTAGAAGCGCCAGGCGTCGCTGAGAATCCCCAGCCTTGAACAGTGACCCCCGTCAGCCACCAAGGAGGGATCCAGGTGGAGAGGGCGCGCGCTCCGCGGGGAGCCGCGCACTTGCTGCGCGTGGACGGTGCTGGCGCTCCGAGCGCCCGAGGCGCGCAGGGCTCCAGGGCCCGGGCGCAGCAGGACCGCCTCCGGTTCCAACCCGGCGCACGTAGCCAGCTCCTGCCGCGCATTTTTCGCATTCCACCTCCAGATTTCGAAACCGGCAAGTGGAGAGCAGCCGTAGCGCCTGCCCTGGGGGAAAATGCCACCCACAAAGTGCCCTTGAGGGGTGGGGCGAGGCTGGCAGCCAGGGCCAGAAAACCACACCCAGAGACGGGTTTCCTGGTTCCCTGTCGCCCCCTTGCAGTGGCCCTGCAGGCCCGGCCTGGTCTCGGTGAACCGCTTCCGCTTGGAAGTTCTGACTTTGTGGCCCCCACCCCGATGATGCCAGGACCTCGGGGCAGCACAGCCCCTCCCGTCGCCCTGCAAACAAAGTGGAAGGCACGGTGCCCCTTTGCTTCTCAAAATATGTCCCGCGGAGCAGCCGGAGGGACAGCGCAGGGGCCTGGTGGGGACACCAGCTCCCAGGCCTTCTCGGGCCCTCTGAGCGCGGTGTGTATTTGAACCCGGTGCTCTGGGGAACGGGGGGCCTTGAAAACGCAGGTCGTCCGGTTGCATTCGACTTTCACACACGCACAGGGCATTCTGTAGCGAATCTAAATATATAAACATGGCCTGGGACCCACACCGCGAGGAAAAATATGCACATGGTTGTGTGTCCAATTCCCAAGCCTCCCGGTTCCTCCATGGCTGAGCTAACTGTCCCCGGTGCGTAAAGGACAGGGGCCTGTGTCAACTCACACGGGGATGTTCTGGCTCATCATCATCGTTAGGATTTTTAAAGGGTTCTTTCTCGCGGGGGAAATGATTCTGGATGGAGAGGAAGCTGCCGAACACAGGTCCCGGAAGGTCCGCGCGCAGCACGGTTCGCGGAGCCCCGGGCTGACGGCGAGCCCAGAAGGGGGACCCGGCACTGCCGCCCGGGCCTGGTGGCCACCGCGCCGCCCAGCAAGCCTCCTGGCCGCCTTTCACTCCGGGTTCAGGTTTATGTTTTAACTTTACTTGGGTTTGAGCCACGCCTTCCGCGTCCCCAGCCGGTCCCGCCTCCAACTTTCGGAGCTGGGGAGCTGGGGAGCAGCGATCTCGGTGGCCAGCCCGCCTGTCCCCCGGGAGAGCTCGGCAGGGACGCCACTTTGGGGAGCCCCTGGGGGTGGGGCAGAGGAGGCGTGGGCACCTCTCCGAAGCCGCCTACCCCTGCGGGGACAGACCAGCCACCACGCCCAGCCTCCCGGCTCCTGGGCGGGGCATCGCGGGGGCGGAGCTGCAGCGACAGCGACATCACGGGCCTGGCAGGCCCCGTCCGGCGGGCGGGGAGAGCGCGCGGCCCCGCCCCGGCCGCTTCCGCCTGGGTCCCCATTATCGCGCATTTAGCTTCCACGCCGGTAGCGAGGACGCGGGACGGGAGGAATGAACAGGGAGCCGGGCGCGCGCGGCCGAAACCCCGCCTCGCCCCTGCCGCCCAGGGCCGCGCCCCACTCCGAGGCTGTGCCGCCACGCCCTCCGCCCCCCGGCCCGCGGTGCCCGCCCCCCGAGGCCTCCAACTACTCCCTCCAGCTGCTGCTGCTGCTGCCGCAGTGAGCGCCGACTCGCCATTGTCCCCACCAGTCCGTCAGCTGCACCGGGCCGCGGGCCGGCAGGCGGGGGGCGCGCATGGGTTGGCGCAGCTGATGCTGCCGCCGCCGCCGCGCCGCCCTCCGAGGCTGCATCTCTGGAAGCCCAGTCTCCCTCACCTCCAGGCCTGGCCCGGCGCCCCGCACTGGAGGGCGCCCCCATGGAGGCACCCGGGCTGGCCAAGGAGGCCACTGCGGACCCCGACCCTCCGGAGAGCCAGGCCGAGACTCCCGACGGCGCGCCCGCGCACTTGCCGGCTTCCGACGCACCCGCGCCCGAGTCACCTGCCTACCGCCTGCAGGACTTCGACACGCTGGCCACCGTGGGTGAGTTCCAGGCGCGGGGACCCGGCCCGCAGGGGCACTTGGTGGCGCCGGGGATGCCGGCGTCAGACAAAGGCCGGTGGTTCGTTGCACGGCCGCCTCCCGGGGAGGCTTTGCCCGGCCCCACCTGCTCCGGCTCCCGGCGCGGGGCTGCCCCTGCGCCCTTGGTCCCAGCAATGCCCGGAGAGAGTGAGAGTGAGTCCCCCCGGGGCTCTGAGAGCGTCCCCACCTGCAGGCACCCCGCCTCATGCCTCCAAACGCACCTTGTTTACACCCGCCGCCACTAAACTACCCCGTGTCTGGGTCGCCTGACGTCACAAAGGTCCCTGGAGGTCACCTCACATTGGGGACCCCGGGTGCCCTCCCAGGCGGGGACCCCCAGGGACAGAGGTGGCTATTCCGAGGGTGTCTGCAGATCTCCTCTCCGCCAGCCTGCCCTCTGCCCAGCGGCAGGAGGCACCGTCCTGGAACTGGGACCTCACGGCGGCGTGGGGGACAGGTGTCCAGGGGCGCTCTGGGTGGGGGCCTTGGAGATGGAGCAGAGCTTCCCGGGAACCTCGAATGCTTTTCCCTCGGTGCTTCCGAAACTTGGCACAGTCTGGCCAGACAGGTATTTCCCTGTGTGGTCTGCCTTTCCGCGGGACCCCCAGTGAGGCAGCCGGACAGGAAAGTTTCCAGCTCCCTGCGCGCGCGGCTCGCGAAGCGCGCCGGTGTCTGGGGAGCGTGTCGGAGGATCCCACCCGGCCAGGGCGCCGGGTTCAGGCTGCGCGCGCAGCCAGCCTGTGGCTTCTTGGCAACTGTTGCTAAGGGGCTGGGCCCAAGCGCTGTTTGAGGGGAAGATGATCCTGGTGGGGGACAAGCCTTGTGGGGCCGCGGGGGAAGGGGCATTCAGGGACTTTCTTGTCCTCGCCCCTCCAAGAAAAGATTTGGAAAAGGAGGAATGGGAAGCAGTGGGCTCAAGGTCATGAGGTCACAGCTTAGGAGTCAACAATAGCCAAAGGCAGAGCGGGAATGACGCCAGCCACCCAGCCGCGGGGCAGGGCCTGGCGCCTTCCCTCAGGGCGCTTCTGGTCTGTGCATGGTTGGGTGTGAGGAAGGGGTCACCCCGCATCCTGACCTGGGAAAGAAGGCCAAGGAGGAACAGCCCTACCTTTTCTGCTGCGTCTGCCCCTCCATCTCTGTCTCCAAAACCATCCGTCCATCTGTCCATTCGTCCACGCACCCAGCCATCTACCCGTGGATCGTCCATCTAACCGTGTCTATCAACTGCCTGTCCGTCTACCCATCTCCCTCCCTCTGCGCCTCTTTTCCGTCCTTCCTCCGTCTCTCCTCTTCCTTCTGTTCCTCCTCCCCCTCTACATAGATACGTTTCTCTGTTTTTTCCTGCATTTCTTCCTCCCTCCGTTGCTCTTCCTGCTCCTCCTCCTCGCTCCCTGGCTCGCTCTCGCCCTGCTGGGCTGATTTGAACGCGGGCCGTGTTTTGCGCGCGCGGCCCGCACCTCCCGGGGACAGAAACCCAGGCCCGCGCGGCTCCGCAGTAGGTGTAACCCAGCGAACAATGGAAACTCGGGGGAGGACCTGCTGTCCCTTGGCACACACGCCAGCCTTTGTGTTCCTTCTGGGCACGTGCTCGGGGTCTGTTGCGCAAGGAGCCGGGGCTGGGAGCCAGGGCAGCGAGCCTGCGCGGGCAGGCGGACGGGCCGCAGACGTGACCTCCGCCGGTTCCCCATGGGCGCTGCCAAGTGGGCATAGGTGCCCGGTGAGTCATCTCGTCCGCCAACGTGGAGCGTCACCGCCTCTGGGGACCCACCAGGCTGGGCTGAGAACGGAGTTCCGTGGTCCTGGGGCCTGTGTGCGGAGCCGATGTATTTTTACTTTTATTTATGGATTTATTACATTTTAGGAGAGAGGGAGAGGGAGAGATGGACATCGATTTGCATGCACTGGTTGGCTCTTGAGGGCGCCCTGACGGGGACTCGAACCCGCCTTGGCCATCGGCGCTGAACTTCCTGTGGGTTCCCAGGGCCTGAAGGGAGAGCCCAGTGGTCTGCGCCTCGCGTGTTGGCCAAGCCGAGGAAGGGACCCCGGCCTGGGCGCGTGCACCCCTCAAAGCTTAGTGACATTTTCTGCAGCCCGGGACCGACACTCCTTTCTCGAACATTGTGAGAGATTAATCCGAGTGTGATGCATTGAAGAGTTTAAGAACAAGCTTAAAAAACACAACTTCACACGCCTTTCCAAGCCCTCAGCAGCCCGTCTCCGAGGCACCGTCTCCAGCAACCTTGGGTCAGTCCACAGGGTCAGAGGGCCAGCCGGAGGGGCTCTGCCGGGCCCTCCCCCAGCGGTCAGACCCCCTCGGGCCGGGCATGGGTGCGTCACCCCGTTTCCGGCTCAGGTAAACAGCTTCCCTTTAAACAGTGTGTCCACCCCGAACAGGTGCCCACAGGGGTTCTCCATTGTCTGGGTGCATCTGTCCAGATTTCCTGCTGGCCAGTGCTGTTCTCCATCACGTGAAACCACCCCACACCCACACAAACACCAAGCAGAACCCTCGCTCTCCGTTGACTTTTCTTGACCATCACGACCCCTGCCCAGAGGCTCCTGCGAGTCAGGGTGGGGTGACAGAGCCCAGGACAGAGCCCCAGAGCCCCCCATCCCAGTCCAGGAAGCGTGTGTGACGTCGCTGCCCCACGCGGGTGACCCTGCACCTGCGGTCTGGCCTCTCCTCGTGTGTGTGATGAATTCTTTCTCTCACCTGTGTGCCGCGGTGTTTTTTAGCCCTTTTGCCCGTGAGCTGGGCCCGGGGGAGGTGGCCGCCCTCCGGACAGAAAGGCCGTCTTGCGGTGGATCTCCGCAACACGCCTGAGATGATGTTGAGATTTTAGTGGAGGTGTCTCTGGGGACGCGAGGACCGTCTGGGAGGTTCCGTGAGCCCAAGGCCCAGGGGAAGTAGATGTGTCGGGTTTACGGGGCGTCCGGCACACCCTGGGGGCTGACGTAAGGACACAGACAGGCAAGGGGCAGCCACATGCCTTTACGCTGTGATGTGGGGCACGAGGGCTTGGTGACATCCTAGGTGACCACTTTGCACACATTTGGAGGCGCTGGGAAGCGCTCAGCTTGCGTGGGTGACAAGTGTCAAAGCAGCGTGCTCTGTCGGAGCACAGAAGGGATGTGCAGGACACCCCGGTGGGACTCGGAGCACCCACCATGCTCACTGGAGAAGAAGGGTTGGCACCCCTGTTGGCCGACATCCTGGTCCGTGTGACCAAGCCGGGTTGCTTCCCGGGGCATGAACGCAGCACTTACGAAAAGGCGTCCCGTGGGATAATCGGATGCGAGGGGGTTCGGAAGCTGTGCCCGGAGTCTCGCTGGCCCCCAGGGGATGCCGGCAGTATCCTGAGCACCAGGACGGCAGTGCGGGCACAGTCTGAGCCCCGAGAGCCGTCGGCGCCCACGGTTTCACAGGGTCTGCGTCGCTTGGCGGGGGCGGGCACGTGGCGTTTCCACCCAGTGGTGTCCTGTGCGTGCCGAGCCGTTGCAACTCGGTTCCTTTCCACCGGCAGCGCCCTCACGCCCAATTCTTCCACTGTTCACCATCTCACGTCACCACGTTAGAAACCTGTGTCGCGTTAAAATCTGGAGACCTGCTCTCGTGAAGTAGTCGTTGCTAACAGCTCGGTCTCAGGCACCGACGAGCATTTCCACATCCTGGTGGGACCTCCTCCTGCGTCCTTGCTTCCTTTGAATGGGCCCTCAGGTCACTCCCTTCCACCTGGGCTGTCATTTACTACGGCTTTGTCACACCTGAGCACACCGGAGATAACCCGAGCACACCTGCGCACACCTGCGCATACATGGGCACCCATGAGCACCCCTGAGAATACCTGGGTATACCTGAGCACACTTGCGCACACCTGAGCACCCTTGAGCATACCTGAGCACCCTGAGCATGCCTGTGCACACTGGAGCATGCCTGAGCACACCTGAGCATGCTTGACCATACTTGAGCACACCTGAGCATATCTGAGCACACCCAAGTGCACCTGAACATATCCGAGCACACCCAAGTACACCTGAGCACACCTGGGCATACCTGAGCACATCTGAACATACTTGAACATACCTGACAATACTTGAACATACCTGAGCACACCTGTGCATGCCTGAGCACACCTGAGCACACCTGAGCATGCCTGAGCACACCTGAGCACGCCTGAGCACACCTGCGCATGCCTGAGCACACCTGAGCACACCTGCGCATGCCTGAGCACACCTGAGCACGCCTGAGCACACCTGCGCATGCCTGAGCACACCTGAGCACACCTGCGCATGCCTGAGCACGCCTGCGCATAGCTGCAGAATGAGTGGACACGGAACCAGGGAGACGTTCCTGTGCGCGTGAATGGGAGCTCCTGATTCACAGAAGCGATCAGGAGTGTTGTTTGTTGCTGAACAGCACGTGGAACATCGCCCTCACCCTTGAGCGCGGTGCGTTCTCACGGGGGCAGTAGAGAGTGTTCTCAAAGGCCCACGGATGACAGCGCCGACGTGCCATCCTCACAGGAACGTCCCAAGGTAGACAAAAGGCTAGAAAGGAACAGCTCCAAGCACAGAAGTCACGCAGGGTGTTGTTCCTCATCCCTTTTTTTTGGTCAGTTGAGGTGAAATTTACAGGATATAAAAGGAACCATTTGAAGGGAAGCATCCAGGGGCCATCTGTGCAGTCCCAAAACTGTGTACGCATCATGTCCGCTGAGTTCCACAAAAATGCCGTCGCACCGGGGGAGACCCAGCCCCGGGTAGTCACTTCCCACCCCCTCCCAACCTTTGACACCACTGGTCTGCTTTCTGTCTCCGTGGATGTGCTGGTCCGGGTTCCTCTTCACGTCACAAACACTTCTCCTTTCTCACGGCACATGTCCCCGGGCTTCAGGGGTCACCGGGGGGACAGGGTGCGGAGATGCACAGCCAACAGCTTTCTGCTCAAGGGGAAAGGTGGA